ACCCAAACACCCCAACCTGCCACACGACCCCCTCCCAATTTTCCCTTTTCTCCCCTGCCGTCTCGTCGCCTCGAGGTTAACAACCGCGCTCCACGACCTGCCCTTGCCCGTGCCCCACAGCACCCTTCACCTTTTCATTGATTGATCAGCGTCCCGTTTCCGTGCTTCTTGGTTCTCAAACCCCTTCCCTCTCCTTTGGCTCCCACAGCAACCGCGCTCGCTTCTCTCCGGGTCTTGACACCAACTGCGCCCCAGAGCTCACCAGCACTCATCCTTGCCATCTCCTTGCCTCGACCACCGCGCTTTCTCACTGCCCCATCAGGAAAGCTGCAGCTGTTGGGTGCTCCGTGCGTCTCTTGCCTGACCTCTGTGGATCCCAAGCGGTCAACACTTTTTCGTCCTGCTATTCCTCCTGGGGCAAAGAGCACAAGACTCGACGTCGTCCCTCAGCCACTGCTTGCGCCGTTTCGGCTGCAACATCCCCTCGTTCCCGTTGACGCACCCGCACGTATGTCCTGTTCTCACTCGCTTTCCTTGCAAATGCCACCTCGCCATCCTTTCCCCCTTCCTTCTGCATCCATCCAACCTTGACCTGGGCGTGCTGAACATTCTCTGCCTCCACCACGCCGCCGCCACCACCGCCCTCGGCTTGAATCCCGCATCCGCCTCACATTTTTGCTCTCCTTTTGCCATGCTCACACCTTCACTCCTGGCCAGCGGGGACCCTTGTTCGCCTCCCTGTGTGGCTGACCGATCAAGTCCCCGACGGCATCGCCATGGCCGCCGCAGTGCTCAGCTTTTAACGTGTCATATCGCCATGGATGTAAGTTCAACCTTTCTTGTACATCGACCCCTCGCTACCGCCTGGCTCTCAGCCTGGAGCTCACATCTCCCACTTCGACTCACCCACCATGGTCTCCATGGCCTTTTGGGCAAACCAGCCATCAACAGATGCTTCGCAGGCCTTGGTCGAGGTAAGGCCGCTGCCAACCCAACATCTAGGAGGCTGTGCAGCACCCCTCACACCGCTGTCCCTGCCCTGCTCGGCTGTCTTGGTACCGGGTACAGGCCTGCATATCCGGTGACATCGTGCAACTTGCCGCCGGGGCCAACGGCTATTTGGTGAGCCCAACCCTTCCTTCGCCCATCGTCCCGCGATGCGCTGCCACGCATTTGATTTTGCCTTTGGTCAGGGTCGCCGCCACCCTCATCTTTCGAGGCCCCGCTCCCGCGTTGGGTTGCCTTCTCCTCCCCTGCAGCCAGCAGAAACCCAAGCCATCCGCGATGCCCTGGGCAATTCGCTGCTGCACATGGCCGCCATTCGCGGCCATCGTGGCATTTGCATGCAGCTGATCCTGCCAGGCCATTTTCCCGTGCACCTTCGCAATCACAGGGGGCACACAGCTCTCGATGAGGCCCTTTTACACGGGCACCAAGACCTGCTTTACCTCCTCTCTCGACAGGCCTCCATTAGTACCAAGGTGATCTGTGGTAACCTCCACGAAACACAGGCCGATGAGCGCACTCCGCACGGGGTGGTCAACGTTGATAAATGTTTTGCCCTTTCGGACGATGCGACGCGTCAACGCATGCCCTTGGTATAGTCATCTGCATCTTGTCCGCGTTGCCGAGAGTTCCTGACTTTGGAGACTTTTCCTCCTTGTGGTTCTGCAGCTCATCGACCGTTGTCATCTTTTCAATCACCGATCTTAGAGCCGAGCTCGCTCAGACTCAAATGCGTCTCAACGCTCATCTTCTTCGCGTGTCCTTGAGGTGGGCCGCTTTGCCCTGTTCCTTGTACTCAAATGCACCAGCGCGTGGCGGACTTGGAGGCGGTTGCTTCAAGTCTTGAAGCAAGCGTTATCATCTCACCATGCCCCATCGTCATGCCCTCATTATCTCCACACACCCCCGCACACGACGCACACACGTGCGCACACATTTCCATAGACGTCATCTTGCCCAACACCCCCAGCTGCCGACTTGCCCACGCTGATGCATCAAGTCAAGCGGTTGGGCATCGCCCTTGATGTCGACGAGCGCCTCGGCCGCGTGCTATTACTCGGGCGACACACATCCCTGAAAGCTGGTGACATACTCTTTCAGGCCCAGGCCAATCACAACGGTTTTTGGGGTGAGTCATGATGTGGGCTTCGCCTCTCGCCCTTAGTTTTTTTCGCAACCACATGCGCCCATGTCCACATGCTCTTTTTTTCGCGTCTTTGTTCAACTCACCGCACCCTTGCTCCAATGGCTAGTTCTGCTTGAGGGATCTGTCCAGGTGCGAGGTCGCCGACGACAGGTTCTAGCCGATATCGCTGCTCCCGCCTTGCTGGGTGATGTTGAATTTATTTATGGCTGCCCTACGTGCGTATCAAGCCCTCGCCCTCTTTTTCGCTCTTTGTTTATGGTTTATGCTGCTTCTACTTTTTTTTTTTTTTTTTTTTTTTTTTTTTTTTTTTTTTTCCTTCCTCGCAGTACAGATTCACTCTTTCTGCACTCCACAGGGCTCTGACAGTGGCAGCTACCGGCCCCGGCCGCGCTGTTCACTATCCGGAGAACACGGCGGACCACCTGCTTCGTGCGCTGTCGTGTGCTGCCAATCCAGGCATGCTAGAACTAGCCATTGAGGATGCCCTATCAGCCATGCGAACAGCGCACAATAACCTTTCACCAAACGCCGATGCCATCTCCTCAGGCCGCTCTCGCTCCTCATCACAAAACCAATCATCTGGGTCCCCACGCTCCAATCAGTGGTTTGGGCGTCGACGACGCGCGCGCTTTAGTTCAGATCCCATTGAACTAGATCCTGGCGCAGCCACCACCGCCACAGCGATGCCCGGGCCCAACCGAACGCGCAAGAACAAGGACAATCGCTCGCGTAGCCGAAGCGTCAATCCTCAAGATGCTGTCACATCTGCCCCCACCTACAAAAGCGCTGATTCGACAGCCAAAGCAGCCGTCGCGACTCCAACCTCCACGCCGACCCCTGGCGTCAACGACTCTCTGCTTCGTGTCCGTCACGGTGATCTGATCGTCAAGCTCTTGGATGCGCGAAATGATTTGGAGTTCATCGTCGTCGGTGGCTCCAAGCAACGCCTGCTGTCCCTACTCTTGCAGGGTCAAAGCCTCGGGGACACCAACTATATTCGTGACTTCTTCATGTGCTTTCGCATGTTCATTTCTTCCACGGAAGTCTTCCAATTTCTCTACCAACACGTGGCAGACCACCCGACAGATCGTGATCTTGTGACCAAGTTGCTTTGCGTTTGGTCTCAAGGCTACCACGACCCGCCGCACGCCACTGATTACGGTTTCAATCGCGACGCTGGCCTCGTCAAGGTCATGTACCAGTTTGCTCAGTGCTTGCCGGACACTTGCACCTGGAAAAGTCACCTCAAGCTCAACCTGTCACCTGCACCCAGCCGCAAAGTGGAGGACTGGCAACCAGGCGCCACCATCCCGCTCTATATTGAGATTACCAAACCCGGGGGTCATCGCACGGACATGCAGTTCGAGTTGGAACCCGAGCGCACTCTTGCAGATGTCAAGGTTCAGGTTTGCCGCGAGGATCTTGAGCAGGCCAATCGCAACTATCAGGGACACCTCGGTGCTGAACAATATTCGGGCGGCCACCTGATGACCATCGATGCCCACTCTTATCGCTTTCGCTGCCCAGGCTTTGCCCTCGCCATCTCCGATACCCTGCATCCCCACGAGCTGCGCCTATCCCGCGTGCTCCTTGTACCGGAACGAAGCGTCGGCCCCTGCTACCACCAGGAAATCAATGTTGACTTGATCTGTGACGTCATGACCAAGCTAGACCACGAAGACTTTTGCCACATTGACGCGGTCAACCTGCTTCAGGAAAATTGGCGCAAGGGTGAAAATCGCGACGAAATGCTCGTCAACCGCATCACGCAACGCTTCAATCAATTCAACAACTGGGTCCTCACCATTCTTCTCACCGAGCCAGATGTGCGCGAGCGCGCACAGAACTTGGAGAAGCTCATCCAGCTGATTGACCGTTTCGACGAGAATCAAAACTTGCACGGCGTCTTTGCCGTCATTTCTGCCCTCTCGCACCCTGCTGTGCGCCGTCTTGTGCGTACTTGGGAACTGGTGGGTGACACGTGGCGCTTCTACTTTAATACGATGGAGAAGCTGCTGAGCCCCTCGGACAATCGCGCCAAGTACCGTTCGCGGCTCAAGGGCTTCTTTTCTGCCGGCACGGTCCGGCAGCCAGCCTATGGCTTTGCCACTAGTCGTCGTTGCCAGCTCCCGACCATGCCATTTGTGGGCATCTTCTGCCAGGACGTTCTGTTTTGCGAACAAGGCAACCCGGACCGCATCAAGCTCTCCGTTGCCGAGCCAGACATTCCGTCTGAGAACGATCAGGAACTGATTCATTTTTACAAGCATCGTGCGGTTGGCAAGCTGCTGGAACACTTGCGCGAATTTCAGCGCACCCCCTACACCGTGTCCCACTTGCCTCTGGCTACGCCGCAGAATCTGACCATCGCGCGGTGGTTCTTGCAACACCAAAAGTCCATCTCCCGTAGTGAGTGCATGAATATTAGTTTGAAACTGGAAGAGCCCAGCAGCAGGGACGAAGATGCCGACTCGGGACAGATTGACTTTATGTCTGGCAAGAACACATCGCACGTCGTCAACTTGGACGAGATTAACGAACCCAAGAGCAGCCGTCGAGTTCGCCAAAATAGCCTGCGCAGCTCGGGCCGTTATGCTACGCTGAGCCCATCCACAAGCATGCCGCAACGCGAGGCGACTGCGCGTTTTCTCGCTGGCTTCGCAGTCAAGGATGACTTGATGGCTGATCCGCAGCAGCTGCGGGCCCGAGTTCTACAGCTGCAACAATCAGCCATGGCCCTCAACGCTCAAAAGCTTTTTGTGACGTGCGACATCGTTGAAAATCGCGTGTACATGGTCGTGCCCACCACGCATGCCATTGTCATGTCTCGGCCTTTGCAGCAAATAGAGGCCGTTGTCATCATGGTGGACGAAGAAATGTTTTATCTTGTGTCGAAGAATGAGCAGGATCAGCGCGAGTGCCATGTCTTCACGACTGAAGGTCATGATTCGTTTGAACTTGTGATGTACCTCCAAAAAACGTTTCAGCGCTGGGTGGAGCATACTCGTGAGGCCCGCGATCGAGCCATGGCCAAGCTCACAAACTTGGATCACCCCGTCCCCAACGGAGCCTTCGTCCTACGGCCCTCCACCTCACAACCGGGCTGCTTTGGTATGTGTCTGACCCTACGAGCATCCACCGCGTCTTCCTGCTGAGTCAGAGTGGACATTTCAAAGAATTGGGCAAAGAAGGGTGCAGCTAATGAAGGGGCATCTGTGTTGAGGTGTATTGGTTGCTGCTCATCGTCGGCTCACTTTTTTTACTATCCTTGTGGTAGCCTTGTCCGTGAAGTTCAATGATCAAGTGACACATTACCTGGTCGAACGCTTGACGGATGGCAAGTTTAGCTTCAAAGACTCTGACCGCGCATTTTTAACCCTGCGCGACCTCATTGTGCACTACTGCATCTTCCCCACCGGTACGTTCAGCTGGTGACATAATACAATGTTCCACATTGCCTCGTCGTACCGTGGTCAACACAACCCCATGCAGCTATGTCTTGTCATGTGCTCTCTTTCCCTCTCACTCAACACTCGTTTGGTTTGGGTTGGGCTGGGCTCGGTTGTTCCCCACCCCAACAGAATTGCCTTTTCGATTGACGCCCACAGATTCGGCATTTTTGACGGAGGAATGCCCTCGCTTTGCCAGCAACGCCTTGCCAGTGGTAGATGACGACGACGAGTTGAATCACCAGCCATGGTTCTTTGGTGACATCTCCCGAGCCGAAGCTGAGGCTCAACTGTCAAAGCACTCCCGTCCGGGCCTGTTTCTTGTTCGAACCAGTAGCACGGGCAAGGACAATTTTGCGCTTTCTTTCCTTGATGACGAGTGCGTCATCACCCACGTGCTCATCACCTTCGTCGATGATTTGGGATTCTGCCTTGATGGCAAGCCCTGTGCTGATACACTCTTTGACTTGGTCAAGATTTGCAGCACTCCGGAACAGGACTGGCTACCTTGCCCGCTGCTCATGCCATGCCCTTCTCCGGCGCTCGTACACGCACCGGCAGTGGAAACGCTACGCGTCGCTTCGGATTCCATGGGACGCGAATCTGCTCTCCAGAGCAGCGATGGTGATAACGATTCCATTCGCAGCGGGGTAAGCACTGGGCGCAAGAAAAATTTTATTCGCCGCGTGCTACATAACTACGTGATGTTGCCTTTGAAGAATCGCGACTCGGTTGCCGCTATCAGCGTGGAAGATGTGGACATGGGGGCGCTCGACAAGTCTAACAATGCCCATCAAGAAGGCCACGACGCATCAACAAACAGCAAACTTCCGATTCCTCAGGTCTACTCGCGCCTTTCGCCGGTTATCTTGGCTCAAGTTAGCCCCCTTGTGCGACGCACGGGCTCCGCCTTGGCCAAGAACGAGCAGGCTGCTTCTCATTACAGCAGCGCCCATGCCGTCTGTGTCCAGTTGGCCCAACACACCCTAAACTCTGGCCCTTCACAGCGCTCGTTGGAATCCCAACGCACTGAGCAGAGTCCTTCACAGCGCTCGCAAAGCTCACTGAGCACTGTGCTGAGTCCCTCTCCTCGCCCCGCTCATTCCAATAATCATGCTCAGGGTGGGTCAAGCCCCCACACGCACCTGTCGACACCCACCCGGAGCTCAGGCATGCCTGCACAGACCTCCAATGGCGTGCAGGATGGCGCACAAGCTCCTGGCAGCGGTGGACGTGCCGTACACAACGCGTCTCCATCCAACGCGCATCGCCGTATTCAACACAACAACGGCGCTGCCCCTGGACTTCCGGAACACTCCATTCACAAACAGGTGGCACTTGGCGGCTTGGGGCGGCATACGGATAGCGCAGGCACTGATGACTCGGGGGGCTCCGCGCACCGTGTTCCCGGTGTGGCACTTGACAACATTACGGAAGTTGACTCAAATCGGCCAAGCCCCCGTGCATCAGTAACACCCGAGGTCGCGCAGCAGCTGGCATTGAACCGACGAGCCACCATCAACCGCATCAAAAAGGGGAAGATCTCGCTCTCTTCAGTCGTATGAATCGGGGGCCATTGCAGAAATGCCACTTCTTGATTTTGGCATATCCAAATCGCGGTGGTAGCTCTCATGTTGCACGCTACATCTCCTGACAATACGAGGCGCGTCGAGCCGTGTTCTTCTCGAGCTTCATTTGTGGCTGAGCCACTTTGCGGTGTTTTGTTTTTCAATCCACACCCTTTGGTTTTTCAGTTGTAGAAAATCCCACAATGCACTTGCTACAAGCAGCAGACCTGGGCTGCTTGTGATGTTTACGCCTTTTCTTGTCTTTTTCCTTTCTGGCATGATTTGTCTGTGGGTTTGTGAATTTGTGTCTGTTTTGTCTCATCCCAATCGCTTGTCTCACGATCAGAGAGCTGAGTTTGTTGCTCTCCCAAAACCAATTGCCAATTGCAATTGAACAGATGCAGTGAAAATTTTGTCTTAACATAGTCCACCAAGTCGGCATCACGCTTTCACCTTGATACACTTTGCATGTGTTAGTAGTAATTTTATGGCGTGGACGCCGTAAATTGCTTCACACGTGATGGCAGTACAAGTACGTGCACATCAGAACATCGAGCAAGAGTCACGCTCACCCAGCCTTAGCACAGTCGCTTCTCTAGACCGAGGAGAGACGGAAGGCGCGGAAGCTCGAGCTACGGCGTGGTGACTTTTGCTGAATCGGGTTGGAAAGCATGTTGGCGTCATACAAAACGTCCAAGACGGCTGCTGCAGACCAGGCCTGACGTACGAGCATCATGGGACCATCAGACAATCGAATGAGGATTATCGCCGGTGATGTACCGGTGGGATGACGATTGGTGATGAAAGGGGGCGGGCGCAGACCTGTGTTGGGCATGAATCGGCGCAAAAACTTCCATTTTCATTGCAAAGCTCCGGCAAGCCCTACAATGGTGGCGCGCATGACGGCCAAAGGCGATTGAATCCTGAAGCAAGTCGGCAAAGTCGGGCGTTGCAGGCAAAAAGTCCAACCGACATATCTTGCGTTTGTTTTTCCATACGTACCACCCAATGGCTATGAGCCAGATGTTCTTCGTGCCGGGCGAAAAACTGGTTGATGCGATGAATGGCTGCCGAGATGATTTCAAGCGCGTGATGAGTGGAGCAAAATAGGACGAGGCAAAGCAGATTCCATCAACTCGAAGGTGGTCCAACAAGCAAAACGTACTATCTTGCTTGTTGTCGGCAAAATTGAGGATGGCACGGCAAAAGTAGCCAATTGGCCAGAGCCATTCAGGTCCCTGGTGGTAGTTGAACCCTTTGGCAACCTGGTAATCGTCGGTGTCATTGCTGTTGTCGTAGTTGGGTCGGTACTTCCAGTCCTTTGTTTGAGCATCGCGCAATGTGAGTTGAGCCGTCACAAGGACCCGCCAATCAGGCCAGCAGCTGAGAGCAGTCATACCGAAGGATCAAGGGTCCGCATGCCCAGTGGCCCAAGCAGAACCTCCTCGGCCAAACGTAGTGCTGAAAGTGCGTGTGCATCTGAGACAAGCTCTATGATACAGCAGCCAAAATAGCGCAGTCAGATTCTTCATGCCTTAAGAGCTCGACGCCTACCGGTCGGCCATCCCAAAGAGAAGGGCTACAGCTTGCCACCACACTCACCAGGAGCCACGGCCAAGGCGACTGGAAAGTTGGGCCGCAGCTGGTAGTCGGTATACTCGGCCGAAGATCCGACCGTATCCTGTATTTTTGAAGAAAGCAGGAATGATGAAAAGGGTATTGCAAGCTTGCAAGTGCAACGCCAGGACCAATCTACCCACCTTGAAAATGCCTCGACGATTGACGAGTTCCTCGTTGACGACATAAGAGTCGTAATCGCCCGCATCCATGCGCGGCACATAAAAATGTTTGCTGAAGTTGGCCTTGAGCAAATCTGCCCAATGCTCAAAGGTCCAACTGTACAGAACCAATGTGTACACACAATAGCTTCATCAGGGAAAAAAAAAAAAAAAAAAAAAAAAAAAAAAAAAAAAAGAGACGAACAGAACCGTTCTCAGCCACCTAACAAGGCACGCCCCACACGTAACGCACGTCTTTTCGCCCGAACCCACACTCTCTGTGTGTAGCGGCTGTAGAGGGCACTTTGGCATGGCAGCTAGCCAAGACAAAACCGAATAGGCCAAGCCCTGGATCTCCACAGCCGCGCCATCGCTATGCCCGTGCACAAAGGTCAAATGTTGAGCGTCGGGCGCCAGCAGTAAGCAAGCCGGCAATGTTTCACAACTTGTGGGGACGACCCAAAGCACGTAAAGCGCCACGCGCCATACCGAGGTGTGGCAGGATGGCCCTTGTTTCCGGCGCGCTCCGACGAGCCCATCTTGTCCATCCACGTGCCACAGTTCCAACGTGAACCGCCATGGATGAAGCCCGTTTCGCGGTCCACGTGAATCGCAATATCAAAACCTGCGCCACAGTCATCATCCAATCAGTGCTGCACAAAAGAGCGCTTTGTTCTCGATGCGAATATCACAGCTACGCATCTCACCCTCGGGACTCATGTCACGGTCAATGTCGGGGCCGGCATTCCATTCGCGAAACTCGATGCCTGGAGATATCAGCGGGATGAAAGGTGAGGCGCGGTACATCAATGATTACAGCAAGAGGGCAATCCGGGACTCTTACCGTGAAGATGCTTCTGCAGCACCTCATGCATAATCAGACACAGTGGCATGGATACTGTGCCAGACTCTTCAAACTCACGGGGGTCATCACTAGGAAAGCGGCTGATAGGTGTTGGTTGGTTTGGTGTATGAGGCAGTGCTGCACCACAAGTTTTCACAAGCGCTGGATGGACGACAGTCTTCCTGCCTCTGACAAGAGACGGTCGGAATGACTCACCGTTCGACAACCTCAAAGAGAATATCTTCGCCAAATGGCACGAGAGTGCAATAGTCCTAAGGTGTATTGACAAAGCGTTGCATGAGGTGGTGAATTGGCACTGGGCAGGCATTCGGACTGAGACACAAACCTTGATGGCTTGCAACCACCACCAGGTAGCGTCACGGCAATTGTAGCGCGGGTTGCGGCCGCCGTCAAACAAGTTGGGAATCAAACCGTGACGGACCACTACACAAAGTTCCAAGCAACACTCGTTAGCGTATTCTCCATGCCAGCAACGCAGAACGATGCGAAGCAAAAAAACAGAAAGCATACCGGCCGCATAGCGTAGGATCAAGAGCTTGGCACCCTCGTAATTTTTAGTGACCATGAGCAAGCCGCGCAGCGCGATAAAGGTGTCACTACAAGGCACAAAGTCAGTCTCAGGCTCATTCATGTGCATTGCGGGCTGAGCGCCCTTTGGTGGCGTTCCCTGATCTTTGTTTAGCTGAGCCTAGTCCAAAGCAACATACCGGCCCCAGCTGCGCATCCAGCCGGCTGCAAAGTGTGGCAACCCCGCGGCCATGGAGAGCTGAGCGGAATCCTGCTCAAGGCTGGCTTTGTCCAGCGTGCGCCGAGCATCGAGGCCATAGAGCTGAACCGAAGACAGAGTCAAAAGCTCCACAAATCGGCATTGGCCTGCCTGATCGCTCATCAACCGCCCAGTCGCATAGTTGTACACAATGTTATATACGTAGCTGACCACCTGTGAAAAGGCCCAGGGTCTGCGGCCAATTGGCAGGTCCATGTACACCTTGGCCGCATCCCAAAGGATGCTGGCCAACGGCTTGCACGAGTTGCGCCTATGGCAAAGACCAGGCGAGGTGTGACATTAGTAAATCAGTGTTTGCCATGACCTTTTGCATTCCCTGCTTGGCGGCATTGCAGCAATCCTCCTCGCTCTAGCATATTTCTACAGGGCATACTTGGCAAGGTGCTGGGCAAGAAACTTTAGAAGCCATGGTCCTGCGCGCAGATTGTCGCAAAGAGGATGGCCTAGGTTGTTGCTGGCCACGATCTCGTCCAGCAAAGGAATCAAGCCAAGCAGCCCAACAAACTTCAGCGGGCCATAGTTTGGGATGTAGTAGACTCCATCTTGCCTGATAAAAAAGATGGATGACGCCAAACGTCAGGCAAACGTGTACAGGAAAAACAGGGCTTGGTTATATAGGTTTTCAAGCCTCATCCAGAGAAGATCAGGCACGTACTTTCCCTCCTCCGTCTCCTCTTCTTGATTGCAGCGAAAGAGAGCGTGATTGAGATCTACAGCGGTCATCTCCACGGGATGATTGGGCTGCTTCAGGATGTTCTCAATCGTGGTAACAGCGTTGAGCATGGCCGGCAGAGGCTCGACCTGTTCAGCCAGAGCAGCGGCAACAAAGTGAAATGAAGAAAGAAATGCACAGCTCAGAGATGTACAGAGGCAGTAGAAAGAGCCAAGTCCATCTTGCAGCGACATGGTTGGCTTGAAAAAAAAAAAAGACGCACCGTGTACACAAGGACAGCACCCGGCCGGAACTTTGACACGCGTAGGCGATCGCCTGTCTCGTGGGATGTGATATCCAAGTTGGGGCATTCTTTGGGCTCAACGTTTAGAAAGTCCTCATACTCGAGCGAGTGTCCATAAGACCACTTGGATGATTGCAAATCGCCGGCGGGCTTGGCTGTGCAAGTGTAAATGGACATGGGGTTTGGGACCAACATTAGACCGGATCGTGAGTGTCAAGTGCGCCCCGCCCAATCCGCTTGGCCACTCAAATGGCGACAAGATTTCACAAAGGAAAAGCACGCACACACCGGCTGCAATCGGGCGGGCTGCCAGTATGACACGCTTGACTCGACCAGGTGCTTCGAGGTGAAGCTCGGCACTTTCATCACCCAAATTGTCGCCCGAAAAGGCCAGGCGAGCCACTACGGTGACTTCTTGAAGCGTCTTCAAACAGTGACGAGTCACAGTAATGATATCATTGCTCTTCAAGTCGACGTAAGCTTGATCATAGTGCTCGTCTGTCAGACGGTGATGAAGCTGGTTCAGCACCCTTTGACACGAAAATTCCACAGGCATGCTTCATGTAAGTGTTGCAGCGAGACACTCGTCCAAACCAAGCAAGCTGACAGCAATGACCGAGCCGCCACCTCACCGACGAAAACGATACAGGCCTGTGGAAATGCCCACTTCATCGTCTACAATTCCCGAAAACATCCGTCCATGAGGCTCACTGTGTTTGATTGGCGCGTCGGATTGAAACTGGCAGATACACAGGGATCTGATAAATACGTTACCTGACTTGGGCTTGTTGTTGCCAGTCCATGGGCGGTATTTGCGTGGATCGGCCACCACATTCATCTTATCAGGCCAGAGCTCGTCAAAGCCACGAGTGGTGCCGGTGCCGTTGGAAATGAGAGCATTCAAAGCCATCAGGGGAAGGGAATGCTCCAAGGTGTACTGTTTCAAGGACCACGGCGTCGGACACATGAGCACGTGAGTTGGTTATGAGATGGAACTTGGATGCAAAATTTGTTTGCGAGCCCGCACTACAAGCTCACCCGGCGGCCTGGATATTCCGTATCGTGTGACGCGTCGTAAAACACGTGGCGTGGGCTCTGCTGTGCCACTTCAAGAGGGCGGTGGGACATGGCCGTGAAGGAGCCGGTAGGCTGGCCTGCCAACCGGTGCAAATGGGTGCTGTAATCACGAGAATTGCCAGGTGTCATAGACTAGACGTGCGAGACGCCGAGGTGGAGTGAGACAGAGCAGATCCCAACTAAAGGCTCAAGCCGAGGACCCGGGCATTGCGTGTGAGTATCCAATCAAGTCCCCAATGACACGATTTTAGAATGTACCTCTCCAATCAGGGTGCTGATGCCTAGTTGGTTGGTGAACGCAGCATCAGTTTCCGCGCTGTTGGTGAAAAGCTCAGCAACCACCAACAGATCAGGCCGCACGGTGCGGCCAATGTCCATCATATACTGGCCCACGTGACGTGGTGTGCTGTGACAGTTGTCAATGCGCACGCCATGAAAGTTCTTGCAGACTCTACAACAGGATGAAAGCGATGATCGGTTTGGACATGGCCACGCAGTTTTGTGAGGCAAGTAAAAACAGGTGGCCGGGTAGAACTTAGACCACGAATGCCCCATAGAAGACAAACCGGCGCGTGTACTCGGCCATGTGCTCCCACAACCAAGGACTGTCTTTAGGACCCGAGCCGTAGCGCATTTTGACGCAGTCGCCCCAAATGACGACGTCATGGCGCAAGTACGCGCGCGAGGTTGGATGCACAAAGTCGGTGGATGGATCCCCGCCGAACAGCCAGCCTAATGCCAATTGCGAGCAAAATGCGAGGTATGAGCCGCCATTTGACCATGCCTTCATGAGCCAAGGGTGCCTGAAGGTGCTGCGTCAAGCAAAGCGAAGCAAGTCTGACCGTTGTTGACCAGGCAATGCTCAAGATCGAAGGCTTCCAACAGCTCCTGCACAGAAAGCCAAAATAAATTGAGCACCAGACCAGCAGCAGGACACCATGCCGTGCAGTCCAGGCACACGGTACGCGTTGAGAAAACAACAACAACCACAACCACAACAAAATACAAAAAAAATAAAATAAAAAATAAAAAAATAAAAAAATAAAAAAATAAAAAAATAAAAAAATAAAAATAAAATAAAAAATAAAAAAAATAAAAACAAATAACAAGCTTACCGGGCTGTAATCGTAGGTGTCCTGTTTGCGGCCTTTCGCCAAGATGGTGAAGTAAGGACTGAACAGCGGATGCTGCTCGTCTATGTCACCAAGGCACGGGCCCGTGGGATCAAGGCGCTCGTACGCCATGGTACCGCGCAGACTTCCCATGGCAGAGCCCAGATCTGCATCCAGTCTGCAAGTGTCACAGGTTTAGGATGAGGAGGCGAGGAGTGCTTTTGGGCTTTGAACTACATGATGGCATCAAGCATTGAGCAGAGGGAGCGTTGGCATGGCCATACTCGTGGTCCAGCGCGCCATTGTAGTTTTTGATTTCATTGCGAAGCCAGGCACAGGCCCTGAGATTAGCAGCAGAGAGATCGAGTGGATGAGCGGACGGCGCATTAGTCACGGCGTTGCGCTAGTTCCATGACACTCTTGAGAACGTGAGCTGAATTTTTCAATAACAAAACTGACCATTGAGCATTGCGGTGAACCAGGTAGCTGCTGCGATGTAGGGCCACGTCCATGTCAACGATGCTGTTTCGCGCAAGGTGGCTTTGACAAAAGAGCGGTTCGTTGCCTTCGACGATGGCAGGCTTGGGATTTGAGATCAAAAACTCGCGAAAGGCTGCTACCGCATCGTCTTCTTGAACGAGATAAAAGGACTTGAGGTCAAGTCGCTGTGTTGAGTCGAGTTGGAAGAGAGAGAGAGAGAGAGAGAGAGAGAGAGAGAGAGAGAGAGAGAGAGAGAGCGCGAGAGAGCGAGAGAAAGATGTTCAGCGGGATGAGCACACTGCACCGGGTGAGACGGAACCGCAGTCATCCTATGCGCCGTGTTCGTACGGGAAGGATCTGGTACTCGAGATGATCGATGAGGCGCGTCACATCTTCCTGTGACTGGACTCGGCGAGGCAGGTCCAAGGTGCCGTCGCCAATTTGTTTGGACATGAGCGCAATGGCTGTGCAGAGAAGCAAAAAGGAAAGCAAGTGAGAAGCAAGTCTCTTGGAAGGCATACGTTGGCGACGGCACGGCATGATTGATGGAGCAAGTACCTCGATCCAGGACGAAAGGGGCGCGTAGAAAGGCGCTGTTGACCAAATTGAAGCCGGCTTCGGGATGGTCATTGAGCCACTCGCTGTCAGGGGAGGTGTGGTTGTACACCACGTCCATGATGAGAACCAAGCCCAAACCTCCCTCGTCGCGAGGCTTGTTGGCCTGAGCCACAATCTCGGCCAGCTTGGCGTCTAGACGTGAACGGGCGGTGCGCAATTAGAATGTGTGCGGCATCAATTGGGTATGGGAAGCGAGAACAACGATGCGCCACCCAGGGCGCACCGGCTTTGTCGGGATCCTCGCCAAAGAGCTTGGGGTTCAGGCGCAGCTGATTCTTGAGGCTATAACAAGAATTGGAACCACCTTGCTCCTGCGGTTGGGCAAGTGACTGGTCAGCTTGCAAATCTATCATAGCGATAGCTGCTTACAGTCGCAGCTCGGAGCGGGACAATTTTTTTTTTTTTTTTCCGTTTGAAAGGGGGGGGGCTCCTTGCCTGAATGGGGCACAGGTGGACGGCGCTGAACTCGGTATCAGATGCGAGTTGAAATTGGTTGAGCCAATTTTCACTCGGGCCCATGGCCGGTGGGATCATGGTCATGATGGAGAGATTGTCGAGGGTCAAGCGGCGGGAGCCAAGCATGATCTCAGACTCGACAATGATATGGCCCTGCAAGAGGCCCGACGTCAAGCCCAGCAAGGTTGAATGAGTGCCAACTTAAGGGGTTGTAGCTGTAAAGGACGGCAAGGGTAGGCTTTGAGTGGCGAGGTTGCATCAACCTGAAATTTGTTAGGCTGCTTTGGTCCCTCGTCGGCCTTGCGCTGCTTGGAGATGCCAAGGATGCTGTTGTCGGAGGGCTCCACCGTGTAGCGAAAGTCAAACGTGCCTGCCAGCTCGAAGAACAGGTCAGTATAGGGGTCACTATTGGGACTGGTCCTAAAAAGAGCAGACGTTGCATTGGAAAGGTAAGCGAATGGTGGTGGTGGTGGTGGCAAGCAATAGGCGGGAACTGCTTCAACCCCTCTTCAAAGTCGGGTGGGCACTCACGGGTCCACGCCAAAGTGCAACGTGGTAAAGTCAAGGCGATCAAAGTTTTTCTTGTTGAAGGGGTAGTTGATTTCGAGTTTGATGGAGCGGCCTCGAAGGCAGGCAGCGGGCATGAAGCGCACGCGCGAGCCTGCAGTGATCACGAGGGGGCAGACCACACAATAGCTGGTCGTGAGGGCACCAGAGACAGCCAGGGTACCTCAAACTTGGCCAATGACAGCAGCAGCCAGGCAGCCCCGACCTTTGGAGAGGCGGTAGAGGCGGTGTTGAATGCTCGCGTCATCACCAAGAGTGAGGGTGAGTACATCCTCGTTCGAGTTGATGGCGCTAACAAAAGGCGCCATGGCTGAGCGCGACGGAGGCCCTGGTGACCAAACGCTGGTCTGGGACGAAAGGCAATATATGGCGTGAGATGGGCCAAGAGCACGAATGACAAGTGCAAGAATATGCAGGTTTGGGTTCCGATCCAGCACAGCGGCGCCCACCTGATCAGACGCGGGTGAGGCAGGGGCAGCGGTCAAGAAAGACAAGGAACTGAAGCGGCACACAAGGGAGCAGCTCAGAAAATGCCAGGGACCTCTACACGACAGGTGATGGATGGTGACTACCACCACCAACAAGGATGAGAAACAATGCAATGCCTGGGGGCAAGCAGCGCCACAAGGTGGGCTTGAACTTCGTGAGGCTGGAGCTGCCAACACCCAATTTCTATGTGTGTGATCGGCTTGACGAGGCTGGAGGCCTTCGCGTCACCACTGACTTCCTTTACGTTGAGGTAGGTTGCTGTGCGCGAGGGTGACACGTCGTGTCGCGTAGAAATGACACGTATCGCCCCTCCCGCTCCACCTCCCGCGCCCCCCCTCCCCTCTTACCAAGTCTGCCAGTTGCCGACCTCGTCGGGACGTGCTCCGACTCGAGTCGCCGCCAAACGTGTGAAGGCGAAGAATTGACATCAAACCAACAGCTTGAAAATCAGAGAGAGGTTGTGAACAAGACCGCAAAGCAGAGAGACACATTTCCCCACTGGCCCATACTGGCATTTCTATGGCGTTGGTGTGACTTAACGAGAGATGGGGTGAGGTCAAGGAGCTTGACACAGAGATTCAGAGAGACACAGTAATCCCCATAGAGACAGAGAGACAGCGCCACTGTTGACGAAATCTTTTTTTCTTTTTGGGACACTCTGTGTGTGTGTGTGTGTGTGTGTGTGTGTGTGTGTGTGTGTGTGTGTGTGTGTGTGTGTGTGTGTGTGTGTGTGTGTGTGTGTGCATGCATGGGCAAGCGGAACTGGCATGTCAGGGGGCAAGGACACATGAGGTAAGAGCCGATTCAATGACTGGCAAGCACACGAGAGAGCGACTGGAAGTGACTGGATTGGAGGCGCTTTGTTGCGCACTTTGGCTTCGCACACGAACACACAATTCGTGGCATCGCATGCTTGCATGAATCCACTGACATGGGTAATACAGGTACATAAATCGATCCGACTCTGGCTTCGAGGCCCACTGGCCGAACCCCCATGCCGTGCAGTTGGTCAAACTCAATGCGCAAACATCAAGCGTGCTCCTGTTTTGCTTTGATTTTTTGTTTTCTCTTCATCTCGAGAAATCTAGATTCTGTCTCTTGATAAAATCATTGTCAAGAAGAAAGCTTTCATCGCCATCCCCTTGGAAAACAGGGGAGCATGTCAATTCACAAGAACACAAGAGGTTGCGCCGTGCACAGTGCCCATGCTGCAAGTCTATTGCCAAGCAACACTCAAGAAGCCAGGTGCCAGGCCCAGGGGATGATAGGACCTACTCCATCACCACTGAGGTCTCGTTGTTCTGGGTGATGATCTGGGCCAGGCTACCTGATGCCGGACTCGACTCAGTCATCCAACCATGAATCAACCTATGTACATGACAAAAGACAATTGTGTTTGCACATACGCCGGCCGCTTTGTGAGCAGAGCGGATCGAGAGCCCACTCCTGACAAGACGGACACGACCCTGCGGGTGCATGAGTTCGCGACTGACTTGGCCACCGCCTCCAGGGGCGTCCAGGAGCTGGTGTCAGCATTCTTCATAAACTTGCGGTTCATGGGCGTGTCCAACGTGATACTAACACACACACACACCAGGGATGACAAGATGAGTCAACCCAGACGAAACACAACTTCAAAGAAAAGACAGGCTATTGGCCTGAGACCGTTGAAAGAATGTCATGAAAAGCAAAAGAACGAAACGCACGGTAGGATAGCCACGGCACTGGCGCCCTCGGGGAGACCCGAACCAGAAGCAGCCAGCGACTTGACAAGCTGGTGCACGGCAGCCTTGGCCATGCCGTAGCCAATCATGCCTGCGTAGCGGAATCAGCAAAAAGCAGGCGTGAATAAAACCATCAGAGCCCATCAGTATGTTGGCCCACTGCCCTGCCCCCTTGCCTCCCTTCGCTACCTCGATCCAAAAGGATCAAGCTTGAAGGCAACAGGTACGTACCAGGGGTGGCGCCCAGGGCAGGTACGGCACCCGTCAAGCAGATGAGGCCATTGCTGCACAGCACAATGAATCAAGTCGCCCAAAGCTCGGTGTGAGTACATGAATAGACAATTGATGAATAGACAATTGATAACACAGACGGCTAGTTGAATGAGTCTCTTCTGTGTTCGGGCGAGAGGTAACACGTACGGGGCCAGGGAGCGGGTTGCGAGCTGCGAGCAGATGACAGAGGTCCACACGCTCTGCTTGAACATCATGTCCGTGTTGCGGATCAGGTCTAACGTAGAACAATGGCATGGTCAGTAAAGACGCTGTTCAACTTTAGGATCAGAACCGAAGAACAGCGTTCGTCGACTCCAGTCAACTCACCCTCGGACGCGGCATTGCCACCGGCCCAGCCGCCAGCGACGCAAATGACTGCCTAAATAGATATCATCTGAATAAGACCCAAAACATGCCAGGGCAGGCTTCCAAACACATTCACACCCATTTCTTCTGAAGCCGCAGCCTCGCTTCAACCAAACTCGATGCCAGAGGCCAGATCGCACCTGGAGCTTGTCTCCCTTCAGCTGGGCCTCAACATCGCTGAGCACCTGTCAGCAATCAGCCAGCACTGAGTTGGGACCATGATCGCAAGGCCAAAGTGCCCTCTTTGCACGACCTTGCCAACAGCCAACCTTGTCATTCTGCTCCTGGAAGGTTTGCTTCGTGCTAAGGATGACATTGGAGTCGGCCTCCTCGTTGGCCACCAGATCCACGCTGATCGTTTTCTATGTCAAATCAAAGACACGAGAAGGACAATGATGAACCAAGCTTCTGGCCTCGAGCAAAGGCAGCTAGGTGAACAGGCGTAGCAACCTACAAAGCCGCGCTCCTTAAAGTAGGTCACGCAAATGCTGCCGAGGGCGCCCTTGCCGCCGTAGATGCACACTGTCAAATCAGCCCATCGTCAGCTGAAGCCGGGACGCGTGCTTGAAACAAGCTTGAAGCGGTAGCTGTAGCCGTAGCACCACCATAATACGCACGGTTCCACGCAACGCTCAGATGCTGCACCGTACGTACCAATACCCGCTGCCGCTGCTGCCATTGTTCAAGGTTGTTGAAGAAAGGACACTGAAGTCACAAGCTGCGCTCCAAAACCAAAAAAAAACCCCCCCGCCATTGGTCATGAAACAACAGCGAAAAAGGCCCAGTCAACATCAAACGCTTCCCCTTGACCACTCAAAAACAGCGCACTGTGTCGTCACCACGTCCCCTTCTCCCACATGTACCAGCATGGCCGCCATCCCCATCGTTTGCCCCTGCCATTTGCCACTGACCTGAAGGACGAAGAAGAAGAAGAAGAAGGAAGAAGGAAGAAAAAGCAAATGCAGGGGCATGAGATGACAAAGTGTACTCTTTGATATACTTTTGGCCAATTGCTTAACAATTTCATCACCTGGTGTTGAATGATGGTGTGAGCTCGGCTCGGTAGTGTTTGCCCGTGTAACTGGCGACTCGACTGACTGGGTGAGGGGAATGCAACGAGGCGGCATCGAAACATGAATTGGCAACAAGAGCCGGCCCCTTGCTTGAGTTTGTGGTATTGCTTTTTCTAACCCATTCTATTGGTACATATAGGTACTCTTCGTCTTTGTTTTTTTTTTTTTTTTAATGCGGATGTTAAAACTTCATCTTCGTTTTAGGGGGGTAGGGCGTCGCGACCGTGCGTGTGCCCTTGCGCGGTGTTACGCTTTCTTTGAGGCCTCTGCGCCCTCAACCTGCAGCCAGAAAAAATCAGAGGGTCAGGCCCTGGGGGTGTAAAGAAGTCAAGGCGAGCTCAAAGCGAGGTTTTGGTCAGCAACATACAGCGTTGACGCGCTCCACGAGCGAAGTAAGCGTGCGCAGATGGTCCGAACGGATATCCACACCCTCATAGGCAATGAGGTTGAGCACCTACATCAAAACAACGCCATATGCACAAACATGAAGCAAGGTCAACGATGTTTACCAAGGCATAGTCACGCTCGGGTAAACGCCCACCTTTTGCAAAACGTCAAGGCGCAATTTGCCATCGTGGTCGGCATCCAACGCGTCGGCAAGCAACGCCATCTTCTCTTCGCTGGGGCTATTTTTCATGTTCTGTCATGCGCACAAAAATTTCATGAATGAGCTCCTGCTCGGCTACTGCTCCACCGTCGTAAAAGAAAACTGTGTCAAGCGAAAAAAAAAAACACCACGCAGCTTTACTGACGCGCATGGCATACAGCAGCTCCTCGCGGGAAATGATGCCGTCCCGATCCAAATCCAGTTCAGCCAGATTGGCCGAGTCAATCTGGCAGGGCACACGCACGTGTGCAAGCACGAAAAAGTGGGGGCGGCCGGGGGGTAGAGTGAGGCGGGCAACCAGACGAGGAACAAAGCGAAAGGGACGCCAACATGGCTTGAGATGGAGGCCATTGCGGACCTTCTCCATTGAGGCCTCGACATTGCTGAGCATTCGCTCAACGCGGGCCGACAGCGTTTGGGAAACGGGTAGGACGGCCAGCTCGTCTTGGGATTGGCTTTGCAGATCGGCCACGTCCTTGGGAGTAAATGATCACAGGCAAGCAAAGACATAATGTCAAGCGAAATGTTGAAGGTGAGCTGATGTAGAAGGTCAACAGCAACAGAGAGCTGAGGCAATCAAGGAGTCGGCATTGTTAGCCAAGCTCACCTCACGATGCTCCTCAACTTCTTCCTTGAGCTTCAGGAACTCGGTCGAAACGTCCTTGTGGCCAGACATGCGAGATACAACCAGGGCCAGGTCCACACAGTCGGCCAGAGTCAGTGGCTCGGCCTTGCGCTTTTCGCCCTTGGCAGGCTTGGCTGTCTCGCCAGATGCCGCGGGGGTAGGGGTGCTTGTCGCCGACGATGAGGTGGAAGGCACAGCTTGCGAAAGATCCACATCGGAAGGCGCGGAGGCGTCCATGACGGGCGCATCGTCGCGCAGTTCGCGATCTTGGGCAGAGGCCTTGGCCATCTTTGACTGCTCTGCCGTAGATGGGGTGGAGCCAGAAGCAGCCTGTTGGGGTGCCTGTGCAGACTTCTCCTCCTTTTCCTTTTCCTGGCCCTTTTCCTTGTCCTTGTCCTTGTCCTTGGCGGTCGAATCCGTAACTTGCTCAGACTTTTTGCGCTCCTCCTCGCGCTTGCGCTAGGCGGCATTCAACAAAAGAGGTGATCACATGAGAAGAGCCAAAGGCAGGTGCTGGGCAGGCGGCCTTTGGGTGTATGTATGTAAGCAAAGCGTGTGGCTCAAAGGACATCGGGGAAGCAGCAAGACAACAAACCTCATCATTTTCCAGTTGAATCTTGGCTTCCTCGAGAGCAATGATTTGCAGGCGCAGCTTAGCATCAACGTCAAAGCCCTCGGCCTCGAGCACCTCCACCTTGACTTGCTCCAAGAGTGCCTCTGCAGACGTGTGGACAACACAAATGTTGGAAAACGCACCAAAAAAAAAAAAAAAAAAAAAGAGAGAGAGAGAGAGAGAGAGAGAGAGAGAGAGAGAGAGAGCGAGTCAGGGACAAGAATAGACTTTGGTGGCTGCAGGCTTGAAGCCCGGGCGCGAGGCGAGGCGGAGACATAACGTGGCAGAACCCCACAGCACACGAGCCAGCCAGATACGTACGGGGCAGGCCTTCCACAACGGCACGGACGCGCTCAAATTCGGGCACGTTCTCGGGCAAGTAGAGCACACGGCTCATGAGGAGCAAAGTAACAGGAACGTTGTGCTTGATATGGAGATCAAGCCATTGCTGTAACAGAAGTTGTGAAGTATGTGAGCGACCTCTTCGCATCGAGCAAAGATGGGTGCAGGAGGAGAGAGTGGGCCGTCCGAATTGCGTGGCACTTGCTGCTGACCTGAAGGCGATCTCGCAGCGAGGCCTCGCTAATGCCGATGGCACGCATGCCACGTTCACGGCAGGCGGCTTGCAGCTCGAGGATGGACAAGTTCTCAATGCCCTCCCGTGCAATGTCCTGATCGTCGGCCCGGATCTGCTGAAGACGCAAACGCAGACGAAAGCGCAAGATGGTGCTGTTGCCCACACTGTACCCAATCGAACGAGACGCATGAGAAGTGGGAGCGGCTCAGTAAAGGCGATTAAATCCATATAGAGCAAGCGGACCGGCACACGAGGAGACGGGCAGCATGACATACGGCTCGAGGCTGAGCAGCTTGCACATGGCCTTAAGTTGGGGCAGGTCCATGCTATCCAGTGTCATCTCATCGCGAAAGAGGGGAGCAAAGCGCAGAATTTCTTGGGTGCTGACGTAGCCCTTGTCACGGTACTGTCAACGACAAATTGGAATACGGGTCAAATAGAAAACAGCAAGCAAGAAAAACGAATGACATGAGTGACAGTGTGAGGGGGGAAAAAAAGGAATATGGCTCAGGCGGGTCGGCGGTGCATGGGATGAACCTTGGCCAGAAATTGGCCAAACTCCTGATGCAGGGTAGGTTGATCGTCGTCTCCAGCAGCCTTTTTGCGCTTGACTGCCATGTCCTCGGCAGTCTGAGGAAGCCAGAGACAGGTGGTAAGAAAATGATTCCTGAGATTCAAAAGAGTCAACAAGGGGGCAAGGAAAGGAAACCGAAGAGGGAAAACGCCTTGACCCACCTCTTGCAGAAACTTGGCCACGTCCAGGCGAACCTTGAGCTGAGCCTTGAGACGATCCTCCTGTGGGAACGGTGACCAGCCGGGGCAAGCAAACGGCGTAAGCGGACGGCATGCAAAGGAGCCGCCATGACCGGATTGCCCGCAAAGACTTTGAGCGCGAGGAACCTTGGATTTGGCATCTTGAAATTGAGAAGGCAGCATGCCAGGGAAGATGCGGATAAAAAAGGGAAGGGTAAACTCCATGCCCGGCACGATGATGAAAACGCTAAAGGGGAGCAGTCGGAACAGGTCTGACATGGTGCGGACCAGCTATGGAGACAAAAAAAAAAAAAAAAAAAAAAGAACATTGGTGCGATACACGGCACGAGCAGTGTGTGTCATGAGAAAGTAGCCTCGAATATTTCGTGGGCAGCAAGGCAAAACCAAACAGAGGGAGGCCAAAAGGCAACCGCATGCGGGACAGACCTGGCGCCGTTCACGGCGAGTGAGCGGATGACCGCGCACAACCTTGCCCATTAAACGGCCAGCAATCTTCATGTCGGCCCAGAGGAGCTGTGTCGCCAAGGAAGGCCGCACCAAGGACGCCAATCAACATGAGAATGCAACTGAAAGACCAAATGGCAAAAGCACACGAGGACATGCAAGGATGCGAGGTAGTCATCAAACCTGAAAGCCGGCCTTGTAATGTTGAAACTCGTGCTTGGCCTTGCCCCAGCTCTCAATCCAAAACTAGGTCCCAAACGCACGGGGTCGTGGTCAGGGCCAGCGTGTCAATTTGAAGCGCGTGGGAGATTAACTAACCTGCTTGGTATGCAAGCGCTGGTACCAAGGGGCTTGGGCAACCTCTTGTTGCTTACGCAGTGCATCATGAGCCTACAAACGTGGGTCACTGTCAGGCAGGCGCCATTGCATGTTGGGTTGGCTCTGGGTGTTGTCTTCTTTCTTTCTTCTTTCAGTTTTTGTGAAAAGGCAGAAGGGCTGTGGGCAGCGAGAAGCTGGATGCACGGGATGTTGTGGGGCAGGGCCGTACGCGCTTGTCGATAACAAATTGATAGCTGGGATTCTTTTGCTCCTTGAGCTTCTGGGTGAGGAGTTGCTTGAGCGATTGCTCGACCTATGTAGCAGCAATCATGCCTGTCAATCGCGAACGTGGAGGCTGACCTCATGCCAAGAAATGACGGGATGGACCAGCCTTCCTCCTCTACTTTTGTAAGATGGGAAACAAGAGGCCAGACCTTGGACTCTTGGGCGTCAATTTCGACAATGAGCTTTCGCCGCTCATCGTTGCTCAAGGCTTGATAGCGGGCAGCAGCGGTGTGGAGCTGGCGGTAATAGCCAGGCACGAGCTCAGCCTGGTACCTGCTGAGACCTTGAGGGTGCCAGAGATCAGTGGGCACGCGGCCGCTGGACCAACTGGCCAGCTGGCGGGCCGGAGTTTGGGTGGCAGCACAGCAATGGTGCTTCTCGTGTGACTCGCGGTCAATGCTGACGCCGAGCGGCCAGGTATGGCGGCTCGATGATCGCCAGCGCAAGCCGCGATGAACAGCCCGTAATGCCATCCTGTTGGCTAGCACCAGGTTTGGCGTTTATCAGAAAGTGGGGGGAGGGGGGCAGAAGCCCGGGGAATGACTGTGGAGTCCTACGAGCTGGAGGGCGGATGGCGGAGGGCAAGGAGAACGTCAGGCGCAGAGGCAGTGAGTGCTTGCAGAGGCAGTTGAGCCTTGCAAGGCAGCGAGAGGCGCGAGGCGAAGCGCCATTTGGCATGATAAGCACACTGCGGCGTTTTCGGCACAGTGTGTGCTTCCAACAGGGCAGCACATGTGGCAAGTGTGAAAGCAAAAACCCAGGCGTGTACAGCAGACCATGGTCTCAGTACATCAAAAGGGAGGCGGGAGGTATGCACAACACGAGCGCGCGCCCTGCTGGCAACCAAGCATGCCACTGGCAGCTCGTGGCAGTGACCCGCTCACGAGTACCTCCCCCCCCCCCCCACCTTCCCACCAACCACCATGGCAGCGGCACATGTGTCTGTGTGTGGCAACCAACCTAATCACTCCGTCGATCCAACCCCAGCCAGGAGACCAGTAGAATGGCAAAACAAGCGCCGCTCCCGCGCGTCAAGCTAGCCCGCGAGACGGGACGGACGGCCGTGTGTACGAGCCCCTCAAAGGCGACCCCCAAAGCCGCCGACACACACACAGTGAGTGAGAGAGAGAGAGAGAGAATGACAGCTGACACTGAAAAGAGAGAAAATGCAGGGCAGGAGGAGGAACAATAGGGGTAGAGACAGGGCTTGGGGGAGCATGAATTTACAGAGATGGACGCTGGGAGAGGATGGGCGACAGAGGTGGTGATGGCTCGCAGGAGCAAGAGTGTGGAAATAGTAGGAAATGTAAGGGGATCTGAGAGGTGAAAGCTGACCAAGACGCACATGGAGAGGCAAGGACACATCTACGGGCATCAGTTAGAGGGAGCAATGTCATCCTCGTTTTATGCAATAAACAAAGCGTGTCTAATTTTTTTGTGTTTCAAACTCTCTCAAACTCTCTCTAACAAACTCTCTCTCTCTCAAACTCTCTCTAACAAACTCTCTCTCTCTCTCAAACCCTCTCTCTCGCTTTCGCTCTCTCTCAAACTCTCTCTCTCTCAAACTCTCTCTCTCTCAAACTCTCAAACCCTCTCTCTCTCTCAAACTCTCTCTCTCTCTCGCGCGCACGCTGACTTCTTGCAGCTGTGACTGTGGGCCGCCAAGGTTTCGTCGCCAGCGCGCGGGCTGGCTGGTGTTGTTGTCGTAGCTGCGCGCCTTCAAGGTCTCACCCAGGAGCACATACGCGCGCCCGAACGAGCTCTTTCCCCCCGATCAGACCAAACGAGACCAAGCACCCAGACACATCATGGAGCAGCTGCGGTGGACGTGACATGTGTTGCGGTCGGTGTTGCACGACAATGACATCCCCATACAAGAAGGCACACTCGTTTTAGGCGCTTCGTGGGTTCGTCCAAAACATGATGATACGTCAAAGCAACCCCCTTCTTGTAGCGATCGGCCCGACGCAGGTCATGGCAAACTGAGGCTAGCTGGTGGCGCCCTTGGCTGTCGTCGCCATCTTGGGTGGCTGCCATTTGCACGTACAGTTTCTTCGACAGCGCGCCTTGCCGAAATTTTAAATATACATGTAACCGATGTTACACTTGAATATAAAGTGTGTAAGATGTCATACTTGATATGAGCTGCTCAACACACACACACACACACACACACACACACACAGATTGACCTGTCAGTCCTTTTGAAGCACGACGTGTTTGACTGGCAGCGAGGCGCTCTCGACCTGTATGCGGATGTGCCAGGAGAAGATGAAGCAAGGATTTGGTTTGATTGTCTTCTTAGCCTTTCAACGCACTCGGTCACATACCAGTCGGATCACAGAAACACTGAGGCTCAATATGCCCAGCGCAGCGAGGGAGCTTTGGCTGCGCCCCTTGGACATTAGGGGCCGTTTATTTCTTCTTTTTCTTGCTCACTGTCTTGATGACCCATTCCATGCCATCCTAAAAGAGGCAGAGCAGCGTCCGTGTTGAGGAGAGCCGAGTATGCCTGTACAAAGTCAAACGCGCCTGTGCACACGAATGAATGGCAAATGAAGTTGCCCCCATCCTATCGAACGAACCCTAACACCTTCGCCGGTGACGGCTGAGCATGGCTGGATCTGCCACGCGCGCCCACGGATAGTATGCAGATTCAGCCCCGTGGCAATGTCCGAGGCCATGGCTGCCGTCTCCAAATCTTGCTTGTTTGCATAAACCAGGACCGCTACACCTTTGAGCTTGGCCTCCGCCAGCAGCTCTGCCAGTTCCTACTCTTATACGCGCAATATCACACACACACGCACACAGGGATGTTTCGTGTCTTGAGTCAAGAGTCAATTTGGACGATGGGTCCGACGATGCAGCAACAAGACAAGCACTGACCTCGCCCGTCTCTTCAAACCGCTTTTGGTCAGCCGAGTCAATGACATAGACCTAGCAAAATGGCCGCGGACATGAGAGGCTTATGCATGATGACCCACCCCGTCGTTTCACAGTCCAGCGATCGGTCCAACAAACCAAAGCGTCGGTGCCATCAAAGTAGTTGCGCCAGTAGGGGCGAATCCCACGCTGGCCTCCAATGTCCCACACGTTGAGCATGACGCCCGACGACATCACCGACTTGACGTTGAAGCCCTAAGCAACGTACGGCGCCGTGCAAAAAAACCGTGAGCGTCGTCAAAAACAATGCAGGCTCACCGCCGCTGGTGACATGGGGCGCAGAGGGTGCACCACAGACTTGAGTGGGTGTAACGTGCGTAATGTCCTCATCTGCCAGGCTTGTCAAAATCGTGGTCTTGCCTGCATCTCCACGCAAGCCAGTAGGCGATCGCGGCAGAACCGAAGCTGACATGAGTACAAGTCGCGGCCGTCAATCGAAGAATGGGATATGTGGCAAGACTAGGCATAGTCCTGCCTTCACACACCAGCGTTGTCGAGACCAAGCAAAAGAATTTGCAGGTCCCTCTTCTCCGACATCTCTCGTAAACGCGAGAGTAACCCCTACGCCCAACCAGCAGACAACCCAACTCGTCAATGGCCAGCTTTCAAGTGTGACGGTGGCGTTGAACAACCGGATAGCAACGGCCCGCACCATGTCAACGGTGCGCGTCAAGCAAGGCGCCCAAATCCTGTATCTCGGCAGATCGCGCGAGCTCGTCGTGGTCACGGGAGGCCTCCCTGCGCATCCGGGGTCAACGACAAAAGTCCGGTGAGCTACCAAGGCGATCCATCCAAAACTTTCTGGTTATTCACAATCGCACACTCAACCCGCACACACACACATCCCCTTGAAATCTCAGATCGTGCCCTTTCAGGCGGACGCTGCCCTCGATTCTCCACACCACCGCCGTCATCTCAAGACGCGTGACACACTTGAATTGAAAAAAAAAACGCCAAAAAAAAAAACGTTGCCAAGCTCTGCAAGCAAACGAGTGTGCGAAATACACACTATACGGCTTGAGCCTAGATGCGCTTTACATGTTCATATGAACATGGCCACTCAGGAGCAGCGAGCGCGACGCATGGCCTGGGAACATGGTTGTCGTTTTTGGATGACCCTGAGCTGAGTGATTCTCGTCCTCGTCTGTTTAGCACAACCTATCCAACTGGAGAAGCTCTCGACACAAGCGATGATTTGATTCGTTTGTTTTCATTTTTGTTGGTTCTTTAGCCTTCCGACGCACCCGGTCACATTCCAGTCGGATCACAGAAACATCGGCAAACGCACAGAGGACACCACTAACATGGACGAACCAGGCGCAGCCAAAGCAAGCCCTCTCGGACATTAGGGGCCGTTTATTTCTTCTTCTTCTTGCTCACTGTCTTGATGACCCACTCCATGCCATCCTATAAGGGGCAGTGCTGAGGAGAGCCGAGTATGCCTGGACAAAGCCAAACACGAATGGATGGCAAATGGAGTTGCTCCTATCCTATCGAACGAACCTTGACGCCTTCGCCGGTGACGGCCGAGCATGGCTGGATCTGCCATGCACGCTCACGGATAGTATGCAGGTTCAGACCCGTGGCAATGTCCGAGGCCTTGGCCGCCGTGTGCAAATCTTGCTTGTTTGCATAGATCAGGACTGCCACACCTTTGAGCTTGGCCTCCTCCAGCAGCTCTGCCAGCTCCTACCCGAGCAAACACACGCACATGCACACGCCCGCGCACACGCACACGCACACGGGGATGTTTCATGTCGTGAGTCAAGGCAGACCGCAGGGCCAATTTTGACGAGGAGCCCGACGATGCAGCAGCACGCCAAGCACTGACCTCGCCCGTCTCCTCAAACCGCTTTTGGTCGGCCGAGTCAATGACATAGATCTAGCAAAATGGTCGCGGGCGTGAGAGGCCTTTGCATGATGACACACCCCGACCGCGTCACCGCACCCCTGAATCAAAGAGAGCGTTCCTGTCTTGTCTCAACCTCTTCAGTTACGAACCAAGACGTCAGTGTCATCAAAGTAGTTGCGCCAGTAGGGGCGAATCTTGCGCTGGCCCCCAATGTCCCACACGTTGAGCTTGAAGCCTGACGAGGTCACCGACTTGATGTTAAAGCCCTAAGCAAAAGTCACGCACAAAAGGTGAGCGTCGCCGGAAAGGGTGGTAAGCTCACCGCCGCTGGTGACATGGGGCGCAGAGGGTGCACCACAGACATGAGTGGGTGTAATGTGCGTAATGTCCTCATCTGCCAAGCTTTTCAAAATCGTGGTCTTGCCTGCAGCACCACGAAAGCCAGTGGGCGAGCGCATGAGCTCAGGTCGCTTTCACACGAGGAATGTAGGATGCGGCGTGGCGAAACCTTGTGCACCTTTCACGCACCAGCGTTGTCGAGACCTAGCAAAAGAATACGCAAGTCCTTCTTCTCGCCTTTCATCCCCCGGAACAGCGAGAGCAGGCCCTACAACCAACCAGCCGATGGTCAGCTTTGAGACATCTGCGTTTCGAATAACAGCATGGGCAGCGCCGCCCGTACCATGTCGCCGGTGCGTGTCGAGCGAAGAGCTCAAGTCCTGTGTCCAATCAACTCTCGCAAGGGCTTTCAGCCAACGCTGTTTGCGAATCGTCGGACCGAAAAGGCCTGTTTGCATTTGGGTCAACAGCAAGTTCCTGGTGAGCCAAAGCTGTTTCATTAAAACGCGCCATCTTGCAGATCCACCGGGACCCTCTTCCATCATGGTTCATCGGTGATCCGCACCCACACTCCACACACACACACACACACACACACACACACACACACACACACACTGCACACACAATGATCCACTTTCAATCCCAGCCCGTGCCCTTTTGGTCCAAAGGAGGCTAACCCTCGACCCGCCACCGCCCATCTCAAACCCCCTCCCCTCCACAGAACCGAGCGCACACACTTGAAATTTTTAAAAAAAAAAGAGAGAGAGAGAGAGAGAGAGAGAGACGTCGTCAAGCTCAAAAGAGGCGTAGTGTAACAATGTTCACATTATGATGGAATAAAATCAAAGTGTGTGCTTTGTTCTATGTGTTTGATATACGACAGCAGTGAACGGGTTAAGACCTTGTACCCGCCCTCTCAACACCACACACACACACACACTTTCTTGTTGGAAGTGCCGCGCGCCTGTGTGTGGCCTCGCTCCCGTGCGCAAGCGTGCGCGTCTACTGCCTCTGCTGCCTCTGCTGCCTCTGCTGCCTCTGCTGCTTTCCTTTCCCTTGCTTGGCTTTGGGCCTTTGCTAGCGCTTTGCATTGGTTCCACGGCCCTGTGCTGGTTTTGATCAGACACCCGCTCCCTCGAGCGGCCAAGGACGGTTGAGTCGGCGGCGACCATTGAGGATGTCGTTGGAGTACCTCGAAAACTTTTTGGATTTGGCCGAGGACGCGGCGCTGGACCTGCAGCGGGCTCTCACCCACCTCCACCAATATGAACATGACATTGACGGTACGCACTGCTGCGCCCCCTCGGCTTGAGATCCGGTGGGCGCGTGCTCATTCGCCTCGACGCTGTCCGTGCGCTCGATTTGATTGGGAGTCCAGACTTTTTAAAGCGGGCGCTTGAAGCCGCCAAGCTGGCCAAAGACAAGCCTCAAAATGCCACAAAACATGTCGCAAACTGCCTGGTGCGTCGGCCGGCTTTGTCTGCTAGCCTGACCCTAGGGCTTGTCGTTTGACCGTGCGTCAACCTTACAACCTGACTGGGTCCGGCTCGCAGGAACACTTACATAACATGAAGCATCTGGAAACGGTGCGCGCGGCTCTGGCCGAGGACTGCAAAACGCTGGTGACTGACCGTATGGCCATCATCGATGGCCTGCAACGGGACTACCACAGCGGCGCCTACCTGGCCAAGGAGGGTCTCAAGAACCCGCCTCAAAGCAACAAGGATGCAAAGCGCCGTACGTGCCTTGTCTGGCCACACCCTTCACCGCTTGGGTGCTGCCGTCGTTGATGGTGTAACGATCCGACGCCATCCGAGCCGCGCCTTTGTGCTACTCTGGCCACTGCTGCTGCCGTTGTGTTGTTGTCGCCTCTTGTTGCTTACACGGCATGGCTCCTGTCCTTAGCTTCCACTGCGTCATCCTCATCGCGGCGCAAGCGCGCGCATCGCGCCGAGCCCCAGCAAACTCAAGACGAGGATGAAGAAGAGGCGGGCACCGACACCACCAGTGGTGGTGCGCGTCAGAGCAAGTCCCGTGATAACTCAAAGCGCGGGAAAAGTCGTCAAGCAGCTCGTCGGGCTCAGGAGAACCTTTCGGTTGACAACGACGATATCGACGCCGTCATTTACCAAGAGGAACAGACTGACACCAAAAAGCGCGGCGCGCAGGACGCCGAGGAAGAGGAAGGTGATAAGTACTGCATTGAAGGTTGCACGGGCACCGGCGAAATGGTTGGGTGTGACAACCCGGATTGCCCCGGGCAATGGTTTCACTACACCTGCGTCGGCCTCACGGGGCCCCCAGATACCAAGAAATGGTATGTCTCTCAAATTCCGAGCTCCAAGCCAAAAGGCCAGAAGGACGGAGATTAGGGCTCTCGCAAGTGTCGATATCTTGCTCCTTCAACTCTTGACCAAACCCTTGATTGTTTGGCCCCTAGGTTTTGTCCCACGTGCAAGCCCATGGTTGCACAGTCTCGCCGCCGCTGAGCGGCCGGGCGGGCCTATGCCTTTGGCCGAGATCGGCCAATCATCTGGTCTTGCATGTCTTCCGACAGTGTCGCTTGCGTCCCATCCCTTGCCTTGACCCCGTGCTTGGCCGAGCCATACGCCCTCGGGGTCTCCACGCGCCTGGTTTGGTGTCACCTTGTTGTTGTTTCACCCTTGCTGTTGTTTTTGGTTGTTGCCCTTGTGCATTGTGTCGCACACCTCTGTCATGAGCCAGTATGTATCGGCGGCACACCTGTTGGGCCAACGTCTGGTCTGCGTTGTCTGTAGTTTAAAGCTTTTTCTTGATTTCTGGGATTTGTTGTTTGTGTTGCCACTTGCTGTTGCCCGCGTTGGCCCCGTATGCCTGTGTCGGACGGGGCGGCGTGGTCATTGTTTCATTGGCACGTGGTTGACAATCAAGATGCACAGATGCTGTTGGAACACGCCCGGTAAAATGCTGGCAGAGACTGCAAATCCGTTTTATGAATTATTTTTTTTTCTGTTGAGAGTCGTGTAGCTTTATTCTTCTTTCTCTTCTCCGGCCGCAATGCGGGGAGAAGGTGCAAGGGGAGAAGATGAGACCGGGATAAACACGCTGTCCGATCGACAGGGAAAGTACATGCACCATCGCCATCAGCGAGGAAGGTTTGGGACAGAAGGATTTACGAAACAAGGGGGTAGAGGGCCGCCCCCGGCGTTGGCCGTGCTCAGATGGCACTGATGTACAGAACTACACGAATGCAAGGTTGAAATGAAAAATGCCATGAGTCATGCCATCAACAGTGGGCACAAAGACCAGGCATCAGAGCAAAACCCACCGTTGTTGCCACGAATAAAGGCATCACCATAACGATTCCGCAGCTGATAAAGAGTTGAAACAAGCAGAGAAGGAGGGAAGACAAGGGCAAGAAGGAGGTGAGCAGACCTTGCCTTGTGGTCACCGGCACAACGCACAAGGGGTTGCCCGCGCAAGCGTAAATGTGGGGGGGGGGGCACGCAGGAAGCAAGGGTATGAACCTGGCCGTTGACGTATTCTTCCGTCTCTTCGAGCGCGATGTTCATGAAGCCATCGAGGCAGGCCAGCTTGCCTGGAAGGTCGAGAAGCGATAAAGCAGACCCGGTGAGTCGACACGGGTCGGGAGACAACTTCTCTGGACTTTTCAGAACAAAGCCAAGGGTAGAAGCAAACACATCTTGGCATGTTGTGCAGTGGTAATACCAACCTTTGTAGTCGATGCCAGTGTGAAGGCGAACCAACACGGGCTGGCCCACGATGTGCTTCAGAAACTCGGCGGGCGTGCTCGACATGGTGAATGATGGAAAAGACGTGCTCTGCATGAGAGGCAAAGAACCAAGAGATTTAACATTGTGAGCATCACAAACCAACATCATGTCCTCTCGTTGGACTCTGATATCCTTGATCAAGCCGCTCACGCTGCCCCAAGCTGCTTGCCAGTACCAGCTGGGGAGGGGGGGGGAGCGGGGAGCGAGTGGCACACAAGGCGACCGCCACCTTCGCGCCACTCACACAAAAAAAAAAAAAAAAGAGAGAGTGAACTCGGTTAGAAACACTGTGACAATTATCACACTTGATAATTTTTAATCAACGAAGGAAGTGAGCATAACCATTGGTTTTCGAGAAAGCGAAGGCAGTGAGATGAGGCCAGGGGTACACGTGTCCTGACACGTCCTGCGTCATTGCTCATAAATAACGGGCTACTGCGTCATAGGAATATCATCTGCGTTAACTTGATTTACTACATCAATAACCCTACATTTTGCTACATTAACACTTAGCACATCTACAACTTCTCTTGTTTAATTACTTATACGAGCTTCATAAACTTCACTTTTTTTCTTCTAAATGTGATTTTAATGCCGCAGATACTTGTTTAAGAACTACATCAACTCCTTGCCCAGCCATTGTCCCATCGATGGGCGAAAGGGCAGCCGCAAACCGGGCTCAGCATCGCCCTCCGATGAAACGGCATCGGCAGGAGGTGGATACGGTTCCCTTGAAGAATGGAAATGGTGCTAGGAACACCCAACGCCACCCTCAAGTCACGGCTTTGCGGCCTTGAATGGCTGCAGCGGCATACCAAGAAGCTAGCTTCAGCTCCCTTCCTATGGCACGGTGGGGACCGTTCAGTTGCCTCCCGCCCGGTCATAGATAGCACCATGCTTGCTTGATACCGCGGGCAGCAGGCGTCATCTCATCCTCTGCTGCAAGCACCACGCTACCAAAGACGCCCAAGCCCTCCGAGTGGCGCTCCCGCCTCTCCACACCACACCTACGGCTCCACCACCCCCACTCTGCAGCGAAATTGGCGTGCAATGCTCGAAATCACAGAGAGAGAGAGAGGGGGGGGGAGGCTGCAAACCCGACGCGGTGGCGGGACGCAAAACAACCCTTCCCCCGCCCACACACACACACACACACACACACACACACACACACACACCCCTAAGCACCTCAAGCACCAAAGTAGTAGCATCAACGATGGAAGCAAGCCCCGCAGGCAGCAGCAGCAGCAGGAGCAGACTCGACCGACACCTGCACGAACACAAGTTGTGCGTTGGAGAGAGACGAAGTGACAGAGACAGAGACAGAAGCAAACATCTAGAGAGAGATAGAAAAACGAAAGCGTGACATTGGCAGAGAGTGTACCATCGAGAGATACACCCACATAGCTTTAACAAACCAATATCCAGAGAATACGACAAAGCGAGTAACCCAATCAGAGAGAGAGCATCAAGACAAGTCACACACAGAGATTGAACAAAACGCGAATCAACTTCCTGCTGCTGCTGCATTTGTTTCTGACCGCTGGTGCTCGCTGGTTCCCCCTCCCGGCCCTCTCGCTTGGTGAACCCTCCTGCTCTGAGCGCGCTTCGCTTGCTGTGAGCGGTCTCTCAGCAGCCTGTTGCTTCCATCTTCTGGATCTTTGTTCTCTCCGCTCTGGGGGTTTGGCCCTGACCATTGGACCATTGTGCGTGCACACGTGGACTGGTTCAAGACGACGGCAACCGCTACCGCGTGAAGGAGGAGGGACCGTCGGTCGGTGGAGCGGCACTATGGACAACGCGCAGCAAAACGAGGCTGATCATGACTACGAGTCACTGCCAGACCATGCCTCCGCCGGCACTCATATGCTGGCGGGCGGCGCTGCCGGCATGCTCGAACACACAGTCATGTTCCCCTTTGACGTGATCAAGGTCCGTTTGGTCCCGGCTTGGAGCGAGACGCTAGCACTGCACGGCTTGGTAAGCTCAACCCCGTTCCCCTCCATCCTCAGACCCGGCTGCAGACTTCAAACCAGTACAGTGGCATGATCAATTGTGCCCAATCCATGCTCCGCCACGAGGGCCCAAGCTCCTTTTTCAACGGTACGCCCCTTGCCATCCGACCGACCACCACGCAGCCAGGATCCGCCCCTCCATACCTGCTGACGTGCCTCCTGCTTTTCCCCTCCTCACGCTTCCCTCCTGCCGTTCGTTTGTGATCAATTCAGGCATCCGTGCTGTCCTCCTCGGGGCCGGTCCTGCCCATGCTCTTTACTTTTCCGCCTACGAACAGGGCAAGGTCGCCTTCAACGCCCACGACCATCACATTTCCGGCAACGGTCTGTTTGGCCGTGGTGGTCTCAGCCCCAACTCAGTCACAGGACCAACCGTTTGCTGTGTCCTCTGGCTCACGCATGCCTTGGCCCCGTGCTTTGCCTCTCACCTCCCCCACTTCAGTCGGAGCGGCAGTCTGTGCCACTGTGGCTCATGATAGCTTTATGAACCCCATCGAGGGTATGAACTGCCCTGTTCCTCCCGCGCTCCTCATCCGCCGCCCAGCGCTTGTTCTGGGCCGACCTGGTCGTTTTTGATCCTTCAACTCAAATCCCACCCCCCCCCCCACCTGCCTACCATCAGTCATCAAACAGCGCATGCAGGTTCATAACAGCCCCTATCGCAGCGTCGTGGACTGCGTCATGCGCGTGGCCCAACGCGAAGGCGTGGGCGCGTTTTATCGGTGCGTGCACCCATCCACTCTGCCCGCTGTGCCCGTGGCCAAGAGTCCTGCACCTCTTTCGTGCATCCGGTGCACCCACTGTGCTACTTGACTTCTAACCCCCCTTTTGCACTCCTCCCCCTTGCCATCATTCATCTGAACAGCTCCTTCAGCACCTCGTTGATCATGAACATTCCGTTCCACAGTGCCTACATTGTCCTCTACGACAACACCCAACGCCTCGTCAATCCGAGTGGCGAATACAGCCCCTCTGCTCACGTGCGTTGTGCCATTTATGCCTCGCCACCATCATCGCCTCGATCACCCCCCCCCCCCCC